AGCAAACTGACACAAGAACAGAAAATCAAACACCGTATGTTCTCTCACAGGCGGGTGTTGAACAAGGAGAACACATGGACACAGGGAGGGGAGCATCACACACTGAGGTCTGTTGGGGGGCACTAGGGGAGGGACAGTGGGGGGTAGGAAGTTGGGGAGGGATAACATGGGAAGAAATGCCAGATATAGGTGATGGGGATGGAGGCAGCAAACCACATTGCCATGTATGTACGTATGCAACAAGCCTGCATGTTCTTCACATGTACCCCAGAACCTAAAGTGCAATAAAATATATATACATTAAAAAAAAAAAAGTTATTATCAACAGTAAGCAATGTCTGGGTTATAAGAGGTTGTAGAGACCCAATTTTACGCAGATGAAGCCTCCAGGTACCAGGCTTCAGAGAGGATAGACGATGTTTCTTATCAGACTTAAGGTCTGTGTTGATGTGAATGCTGGAGGGCACAATGACGCCCGACTGACCCCCACTTGCCATCGTGGCCTGAACCAGTCTTTCAGGTGAAACTGAGGCCCATCTGACCCCACTTCCCATTGTGGCCTGAACCAGTCTTTCAGGTTACATTTTGAGGGCCCTGGCCTAGAGGAGGAAGCCCATTCAGATGGGTGGGGTGGGGGTGGGGGACTTCAAATTTTACTTTTGGTTTACAACATGAAGAAATGAGAGTCTGATAAAAATAGCTATATTGGTAATTATGAGGCAGTATAAAATGTGTTTTTGTTTTTAACTCTTCTATCTGATTTAAAAGACAATTGAATAAGCAATAATCAAAGACCTGTGCTGATGGACTTATAATGTTTAAGATATAATTTGTATGACAATAAAAGCACAAAGGTGGCAAGAGGAAACTGACCTATGTTGGAGTAAGGTTTTGGTATACTATTTCTCTTTTTTGAGACAGAGTTTCGCTCTTGTTGCCCAGGCTGGGGTGCAATCACGTGATCTCGTCTCACCGCAACCTGTGCCTTCCGGGTTCAAGAGATTCTCTTGCCTCAGCCTCCTGAGTAGCTGGCATTACAGGCATGCACCACCACGCCCAGCTAATTTTGTATTTTTAGTAGAGACAGGGTTTCTTCCATGTTGGTCAGGCTGGTCTCAAACTCCCAACCTCAAGTGATCCACACACCTCAGCCTCTCAGAGTGCTGGGATTACAGGCGTGAACCACTGCGCCTGGCCTGGTTTTGGTATACTATTAAAATTAAATTGGTATTAAAAGGTAGTAATTCAAACTAGGTTGTTTTAAATCGTGGTGCTAATTATAATCCTCTAGATAACCAATCTAAGAAAATAACTTTAAAAATACAGTATAATTTTAAAAAGGGGATTAAAATGGGACATTATAAAATATTTATTCAACACAAAAAAATAAGGCAGTAATGAGAAATACAGGAACAAAAAAAGACGTGACATACAGAATATAAAGAACAAAATGCCAGACATAAATCCTATTTTGTTAGTAATTATATTAAACAAATGGAATAAAATTCCAAAGGTTAACAACTGGCAGAATGGTTTTAAAAACTTGATCTATGTTGTCAACAAGAGACATGATTTAGATTCAAAATACAGGTTGAAATTAAAAGGATGAAAAAAGACATACCATATAATCAGTAACAAAAGAGAGCTGGTGTGCCTATACTATAGGATAAAACAGATAAAACAGACTTTATGAAAAATGTATGTTAATTAGCGACATTTTATAATGATAAAGGACTCAATCCATAAAGAAAATATAACACTTATACGCAGCTAACAACAGAGACTCAGAATATATGAAGTATAAAATGCCAGAATTGGAGGCAGAAATAGACAATTCAACAATAATATTTGGAGACTTCAATACCTCACTTGCCATAATGGAGAGAATATGTAGAAGATCAACGAGGAAACAGAAGACTTCAACATCACTGTAAAAACTAGATGTCACCAGTATCTATGGAACACTCCATCCAACAAGAGAATTCTCAAATACATCTGGAACAATCTCTAGAATAGCTCATAAAAAGTCTCAATAATTTTTTTTTTTTTTTTTTTTTGAGATGGGGTCTCTATCTGTCACCCAGGCTGGAGTACAGTGACGTGATCTCCACTCACTGCAATCTCCACCTTCCAGGTTCAAGCAATTCTCCTGCCTTAGCCTCCCGAGTAACTGGAACTACAGATGTGAGCCACCACACCCGGCTAATTTTTGTATTTTTAGTAGAGACGGGGTTTTGCCATATTGGCCAGGCTGGTCTCGAACTCTTAACCTCAAGTGATCCACCCGCCTTAGCCTCCCAAAGTGCTGGGATTACAGGTGTAATCTACCATGCCAAGCCAACCTCAATAAATTTAAAAGGATTAAAATCACAGGAAGTATCTTCTCCAACTACAATGGAATTAAGTTAAAAAACAACAAAAGAGGCTGGGCGCAGTGGCTCATGCCTCTAATCCCAGCACTTTGGGAGGCCGAGGCAGATGGATCACAAGGTCAGGAGTTTGAGACCAGCCTGGCCAATATGGTGAAATCCCATCTCTACTAAAAATACAAAAATTAGCTGGGCGTGGTGGCAGGTACCTGTAATCCCAGCTACTCAGGAGGCTGAGGCAGGAGAATTGCTTAAACCTGGGAGGCAGAGCTTGCAGTGAGCCAAGATTGCACCAATGCACTCCAGCCTGGGTGACAGAGCAACACTCTATTGAGAAAAAGAAAAAAAAAAAAAAAGAATAAAGAAATTTGGGAAATTCATAATAAATATGTAGAAGTTAAATGTCAACATACTGTTAAATAACCAATGACTCAAAAAAGAAATCATCAAGGAAATGTAAAAATATTCATCCAATTTGAAACATTTATCAAACACAGACAAGAAAATGCAAAGCTGCCCTGACAACTAAGTAAACTTGAAAGAAAAGTAATGCTTATCTTGATGAGCTAACATGAGTTTTTTTGGTTTTTTGAGACAGTATTTCAACTGGTCACCCAAGCCGGATTGTAGTGGCACAGTGATCATCCTGCCTCAGTCTCATGGATAGCTGGGTTTATAGGCAGATGCCTTCAAACTCAGTTAATTAAAAGAAATTTTTTATAAAGATAAGGTCTCACTATGTGGCCCGGATTGCTATCAAACTTCTGGCCTTAAGCAATCCTCCCGCCTCAGCCTCCCAAAGTGCTGAGATTAGAGGTGTGAGCCACCACACCTAGCTGAATGTGAGACTTTAATGACAAAGTTTGTTAGACTGGGAAACACTGAAGGTATTGTGTCATTAATTATCATTGATTCTGATTCCCAGCTAGAAACTAATCACTATTCTGTTTCTGAGCACCCAAAATATCAAATAAAAATGACCAGACTGTAGCATGTGCTCATAAAAACCAACCTATAGGGAATTAGTGAGTTTTTTTGGTAACAAATTATCAGATTGATACAGGGGAAATATGCAGATACTAGAGCTGAGCTTCAGAAGAGCACTGGCAAAGGTCTCACCCATCTTGGTGAACAGGGTGGAGAGACCTGGACCATTTAGGTGGATCCAGAACTGGATGTGCAACTGTAACCTCAAAGGCTGTTTCTAGTAATATGTTAGTGCCATGGACTGAACGTCTGTGTACCCTCTGCCCCCTGAATTCATACATTAAAGCCCTAACCCCTACTGTGCCTGTACTTGGAGATAGGGCCGGCCTATGAAGAGATAATAAAGGTGAAGCCATAGAGTCGGGTTCTTATAATAGGAGAGACACCAGAGCTCGCTCTCTGCCATGTGAGGACACAGCAAGAAGGCAGCTATATACAAACCAGGAAGAGAGCCCTCAACAGGAACTGCACTGGCCAGCACCCTGATCTTGGACTTCTCAACCTCCAGAATTATGAGAAAATAAATTTCTGTCCTTTAAGTCGCCCAGTCTGTGGTGTTTTGTTATGGCAGCCCTACTGATTAATACAGCTATGTCCTTCACAATGTTTACTTGGATGATTAGATATAAAACTCATACTTACCAAATTTAATACGACTATTGATTGGGGTCGATAATAATTTGGATGCAGAACTGAGTCTCAAAAAGAGTCTAATAGTTTGCAAAGAGATCAAACCTAACAGGATGAAATTTAACATAGATAAATATATGAACCTGTGTATACTACAAGTAAATAAACAATGGTAGCTAACTTTTATTGAGTGCTTTCTATGTGTAAGATACTCTTCAAAACTTTTGTTTTTTTTTTTCTTTCATTTTTTATGTATCTGTTGTTCATTTGCATGTGTTCATTTGTTACTCTTCAAAGTTTTTAACTGGTATTATCTCAATTACTTCTCACAATAAGCCAGTAAGTTTTGCTATTATTCCTATTTCTCAGGAGGCTAAAGAACTTGCCCAATATCACGTGGCTGGGAGTGGACGAGCCAGGAAGTGAGTCCGGGCAGTGTGACTCTAGACCAGGCCTCTGGACCACGGCACTGCCACCACCTCTCCAGGCAGGGACAGTCATTGGTCAACAGAAGCAGTCCACACAAAAGAACCCTGCAATGTGTAACTGATGGTGAGACCAAGAGTCAATGTGAATAGCAATACTCTATACTCATAATATCAATACATTTAATATTGATAGAAATCTAGAATATTGGCACTATAGTCCTGCACTTACCACTAAGCCACATCAAATACCTTTTGGTAATAGATAAGATATAATAATTTTGCTCATGAATATTTTCATTCTTGCATGGGCATGTGAAGAAGGGCTTCCATAACTCCTCTCTTCCTTTGGCCTAAATTCGAATATCCTTCTTGCACTGGTTTAAATCAACTGCTAGGCAAATTCACTACACTAGCTTCCGTCCCCCTCCACTTTCATAGTTATTTTACAATCACAAGCAACTAGATAAAAGGCAAGTAAAACATTTTTGTTTAGTTTAGCAACCAAATAGCAGTAATAATAATAGAAATTTCATTTCTATTAGCAAAAACATCCTTCATGGAGTTTGATGAGTTTGCTCTGCCGTACCCTTTCATCAGCTGTGCTGCTGTGAAGTAGGCAGCCATCGCTTGGTCATGCTCACTCTCCACTGCAAATGAATGTCCATAGGCTATCCATGCAGGTCCGTAGGTTTTCTCAAGTGTTGTGGCTTTGCTAAAACAAAAGAGTTAATTTAAGTAACATAATATTTATTCTTTTTGTTTTCTTTTTGAGATGGAGTCTTACTCTGTCGTCTAGGCTGGAGTGCAGTGGTGCGATCTCAGTTCACTGCAGCCTCCATCTCCTGGGATCAAGCGATTCTCCTGCCTCAGCCTCCTGAGTAGCTGGGATTACAGGCACCTGCCACCATACCCATCTAATTTTGTATTTGTAGTAGAGATGGGATTTCACCATGTTGGTCAGGCTGGTCTCACTCCTGACTCAGGTGATCCATTGGTCTCGGCCTCCCAAAGTGCTGGGATTAACAGGCATCAGCCACTGTGCCTAGCCTATTTATTCTTATTTATTTTTAGAGATAGGGTCTTGCTCTGTTGCTGGAGGCTGGAATGCAGTGGTATGATCATAGCTCACTGCAGCTTCAAGTGATCGTTCTGCCTCGGCCTCTTGAGTCACTAGGATTACAGGCATGAACCACTGTGCTCAGCCAATACTTATTCTTAAATTGTTAATTTCATATAAGCAGATGGCCTCAAAAACATTAACATTTAGTAAATAAATGAACTGTCAACATATTAAACACTAATGTAACATCTGTATTAATTCATTTGAACTAAAACTATGTTTAATAGTATAGCAAAATTTTAAGAAGTTTTAGGAGAGGTCCACAGCCTTTTATGTACTGTAGCAAAACCCATTAGCACTCTAAATAGAACTTACAGAAATTACTTAACCCTGGAGCTTCATTTTGTAACTTAGTAGATACATCCTCTCATCCTAATAACTTGCAAGATAAATTCATTTATATTTTAAAGACAGGTACATTGAGGTCTGAGATTACGCAGTATCCTATAGATGGTGGTAAACAGATGTACCCTGGTTAGGGTTAGGGAACACACTGTATAATTAATCCACAAGGAATAAAGAGAACATATCACAAAATATGAAAAACATACGGGGTGATACCCCACTTCCTTATATTTTAAGTTGTCTTTTACCCAAGTGTTCCCTGTTTCATGTGGAGCGGGGGTCCCCAACCCTGGGGCCATGGACTGCTATCAGTCCTTCCCCTGTTAGGAACCAGGCAACACAGCAGGAAAGGAGGTGAGTGGCCGGCCAGCTAAAGCTTCTGTGTCAAGAAAGAACTTGCCATTTAAAAAACAAAAGCTTAATCTGTATTTACAGCCACTATCCTTCACTTGCATTACCGCCTGAACTCTGCCTCCTGACAGATCAGAGGGGATATTAGGTTCTCATAAGTGTGCAAATCTTGCTGTGAACTGCACACATGAGGGATCTACTGGTGCACTCCTTATGAGAATCTAATGCCTGATGACCAGTCACCGTCTCCCACCACTCCCTGATGGGACCATCTAGTTGCAGGAAAACAAGCTCAGGGATCCCACTGATTCTTCAGTATGGTGAGTGTATAATTATTTCATTATATATTACAACATAATCATAATAGAAATAAAGTACACAATAAAGGTAATGCACTTGAATCATCACGAAACCAGCCCCCTCACCCCGGGGGTCTTCCACAAAACAGACTCTGGTGCCAAACAGGATGGGGACCATTGATAAGAGTCCATCACTGAATCACACCCTAAACCAAAGAAGCACAGTTCAAGAGAACTTTTACAATACCAGAGAACATTCTAGTATCTTCCTAATACAGGGTACTTTTGTGGCATCAGTTTTCCTAACGATCCTGGTATATAAGTATGACATCCCCATTTTTAAAGAAAGAGTAAGAGAAATTAACTTTCCCAAGGAATTTCAGTTGATAAGTCACAAAACTTAATTAGAATTGAAATTTGACTCCAAAGTTTATTCTCTTTCTTTTAGAGATAAACTGTTTTGTTTGTACAGAAGAAATCACAGAAATTAGAACATTTACAGAGTTTAATTAATTTTTCATATGACCACATTTTTCTATACTTTAATAATACTGGTTACATAGCTTCACTAGGCTGCATGGCTTTAAGTTAAAACTGCAGCAGATCATTACATGAACCAGTTCACCCTGCTAAGAATTGTTTGATAGTCACATTTAATGACCCCAATTTTACATAAAGTTTTGTGTAATTTCACAACTATTAATAAAAGAAATCCTAAAAGTAAAAGGTTAACAGGACATCTATAAATAAAAAAGAGAAACTGTCAAACTATATTATTCTCTATTGTTTCATATGTATTCTCATTTATCAATGAATGAATGAATGAATGAGATGGAGTTTTGCTCTTGTTGCCCAGGCTGGAGGGCAATGGTGTAATCTTGGCTCATTGCAACTCCGCCTTCCAGGTTCAAGCGATTCTCCTGTCTCATTCTCCCGAGTAGCTGGGATTACAGATGCCCACAACCACATCTGCCAATTTTTTTTGTATTTTTTAGTAGAGACAGAGTTTCACCATGTTGGCCAGGCTAGTCTCAAACTCTTGACCTCAGGGGATCCACCTGCCTGGGCCTCCCAAAGTGCTGGGATTGCAGGTGTGAGCCACCACACCCAGCCATTTATTCTCATTTATACATAAAATATGTAAGTTCCTTGAGAAGAGAGCCTACATCACTTATTCTTTTTTTCTCTCTCTCCCTGTAGCATCTTATAAAGAACAAACCTCTTGAAAAAAACATCTATTCAGCCAGACATGTTGGCTCATGCCCGTAATCCCAACACTTTGGGAGACTGAGGCAGGAGGACTGCATGAGGCCAGGAGTTCAAGATCAGCCTAGGCAAGACAGATTTGCCCCTATCAAAAAAAATTTTTTTAATCTAGGCTGGTGGCACCTGTAGTCCCAACTACTTGGGAGGCTGAGGCAAGAGGATCGCTTGAGTTCAAGGTTGCAGTGAGCTATTATTGCACCAATACACTCTAGTCTGAGCAAGAGTGAGAACCTGTCAAAAAAAGAAAAGAGAAGAAAAGAGAAAGAGACAGAGAGAAAAGAAAAAGAAAAAGGACAGAAGAAAGGAAGGAAACATTTATTCTTTCACATTGCTTTTAAAGTACTCACTCATTACTATCTGAAAGCTTATGAGCAAGACATCAATTCTGTAGGTCAACTACAGAGGGAGGAGGAAAATAAATTCATACCTGAGATATCTTCTGGCATGTTCATTTTTATGACCAACCATGAGATAGTAACAGCCCACTGCAAACCAAGACACCTAAAAAGTTCAAAATTTACCATAACCAAAGATTGGAATTGGAATCTCTAATTGGAATCTGTAACAAATTAGAGTAGACAGCAGGTATACTAGATGTTCCTTATCACATTTTCTAGTTCAAGTCAGACATTTTTTTTTTTTTTTTTTTTTTTTGAGACGGAGTTTCGCTCTTGTTACCCAGGCTGGAGTGCAATGGCGCGATCTCGGCTCACCGCAACCTCCGCCTCCTGGGTTCAGGCAATTCTCCTGCCTCAGCCTCCTGAGTAGCTGGGATTACAGGCACACACCACCATGCCCAGCTAATTTTTTGTATTTTTAGTAGAGACGGGGTTTCACCATGCTGACCAGGATGGTCTCGATCTCTTGACCTCGTGATCCACCCGCCTCGGCCTCCCAAAGTGCTGGGATTACAGGCTTGAGCCACCGCGCCCGGCCAAGTTAGACATTTTTCTAACAGTCTATCTACTAAGGTCCAAGATGAGAAGAGAGTAGACACTCCATGGCTCTTTCTCAAGGAGGCATCCATAAAAGACAAGGCCCCTGAGGAGTCCCTGTTTCAAAAACCAGCCCACGAGTCCTGACTCCTCTGCCCTGCTCATCTCCCCCATCTGGATCCTGGCTCTTCTTTGCTCTCTGACCCAGTTCTGAGTCAGTTAGCTTGTTTCCTCTTGCACTGGTTTCTCACTGGGCTAGGGTGCAAATTCTTGTCTTGTCTGAGTCTTACACCCTGATTGCTGATTCTGTCTTTAACAATGCAGTCCCTGATTCCATTTTCCATCCCTGGTTCTCCATTCCAATCCATGACAATTTGGAATCAGTACACAATTCAGTAAGTTGTCTTACGTGTACAATGTGAAAAAGCCACCAATTATCAGCATTTCTTATGAGAGGGAGGTGTGACGGTCATGGTATTTTATATTGCTGTGTGCTAAGTATTTAAAAATAAGCATATGTAATCTCTATAATCAGAAAAAAAAAAGAGTTTTAAAGTTATTGCTTTGGTATAATAAAAAAATACCTTCATGGGTTGAAAAGTTAATGCTGCTTTCTAAGTACGTTAAACACTAGGAGATTCTGCTCCAACACTTCAAATAAAATGTCATTACTTGAAGTTAAGCTATTGTCTAAATATAAGTTAAGCATTTTCTTAAAGTTCAGGTAAAAAAAAAAACTAAGACTAAAAGTTATATTACTTACAGGATTACTAGGATATAAATCCACCAGTTTATGAGAAAGATAGAAAAGTTCTGTTCAGGAAAAAACAGAAAAAGAATAACTGTCCATATCACATGTAATTTAAAATATTACTTCATTACAACTCTTCACAATCATAGAATTCTGTTCTTACAGCAATGATTTTGTATTTGTCTTTCCTTCTAGATACAAAATTAACTCTCTAACTGGAGTTAGATGAAGGACACACAGTGGGCAAGGTGGGACTAGACACCTCCCTACCAAAGTGCCTCCTGAATACTGCAGAGGACACAGCAAAGCACCTCACCTCTCTCAGACACTCATGCCTTTCACACCAAGGGGCCATTATGGACCATGATAACCACCCACAATCAATTTGGTTGAACAAACTTTCAAGTTTATCATATCAGTGATACTATTTAATCTTGAGGAATGTGAAAATCCTGGCATTCCAAGATTCAGTTAAGGCCATAATTAAGTTACAAATGAAAGAAAAAAATTGTGGCTACTTTGAAAGGAACACAAATAAATACAATTCCTACATGCAGACTTGGATTCAGTAGACCAGGCAGCTAGAGATGCTGCATTTCCAACCAGCTTCCACAAATGCGATGCTGCTGGTCCCCGGACCATACTCTGAGCAGCTTTGGAATGCAGTGTTCAAGGGTTTTTCCTTCCTGACAGAGCTCTCCATTCAGTTTAGAAAAACTTAAGGACAAATGCAGCCCCAAACACAGCTAAATGTCAAATGTACAATATAGAAAACATGAGCAAACAATCTGCTCCCCTCCAATTTCTAAATAGTTATTGGCTCTTACCATATCAGATTTCCAATGGAATTTATTAAAAAAAAAAAAAAAAAAAAAAAAGAGAGAGAAAAAGGCAGAACTGACACCCAACAATTTAAAGCTAACAAACCTTGAAAGATATATTTGAGAAAAGATAGCAGGAAGCATGATAAAGAACTAATTGTTCTGATGGCAAAACAAACGGGCCGTTTGCTACTTTCGTAAACATTTCCTCCCCAGTTATTACTTTTATAGTAGGGGTCCATTATGTTGTTACCTGCAATCTCAGCTATCCATAATTTTGGAGACAAAACTTCAAGTTACAGAAAAAATTTGTTTCATGTCGAAGAATCACTTTAATTAAAAAAAAGTTCTTACCATTGGCTTTATTCAGCTCTACAAGTGTCCCTATATGTACAGGTAAACAACTTGCATGGAAAGGATCTTTCTCCATCACTCTGAAAGTTAAAGCGACACATTACTATCCCCAAAACAGTAGATGACAGCACTCATGATGATCAGCTATGTGTAGACAGTCATCACAGCATCACATATGATGCTGCAGGTTATAACACTTTTTTACTTTCTTCACTCCATTATCTTCAGTTTGATTCAGTTAAGGCCATAATTAAGTTACAAATGAAAGAAAAAAAATTCTGGTTTATTTGAAAGGAATACAAACAAACATTATCACATACATTTACTTTAAGTCAACAGAATTGTTATAAATAAAATAAGTAGTCCAATTATTTAAAAGAATCAAAACCAATAGGAAATACTATTAGGTTGGTACAAAAATAACTGCAGTTTGCAACAATTATTTTGTAATATTTTACAAAATTGCCAGTGCTAAGCAGGACCTCTGGCTGGTAGCCACTAGATACCAGCAGCAACCTTTATTTGCACCAACCTAATAAAGATTACATATATTTGTCAATTAAATTTTTTGTAATGTCAAGCATTTTCCCAAAAGATCTACAAAAAATAGTATATGTAATTTAGCTAAAGTTTAAATCATGTACCCTGGAAAACTGGTGTGTGTCGGGGATGGCTTAGCTACTAAGCACGGCACATTGATCCCATGTTCCTACATAAAAATGGATGGATATACTTACACAGAAGTAAGCTTGTAGCACATTTTAAAATCACAGTTATAATAATGTCTCTCAGCTAAAGACACTACCACATCCAGATTCTCTTGCAAGCCATTTACAGACTCAGGGATGACCGTTTCACTAGGCTTATTATACTGAAACACAGAGAAATTTAAACATGAACACAATGAACAAAAACAAAATAAAATGCGGATTCAATTTGTGTTTGACCCAAGTGGTTAAAACACTGACAAGAATAAATGTGAGCCTCTGAAAACTTTTAATTTTAGGTTGTATAAGTACTCCTCTTAGTAAGTGTAATTCTCTTCTCAATTTTATCACAGAATTCCATAGTGGGCATATTTCCCAAAGTAAACACTTAGAAACTATAACAAAAAGATCTTCATTTTCATGCAACACCATTCCATTTACTTGATAATTCAATCTTTTAGTATAAGGAGTCTTTCAGAGAAGATAGGTATTTTTGGAAGCTTTTTTTTGGAATTGCATGTATTTTAAATGCTCTATTCTCAAAAATGTGCTAAATTTATGAAAATTTTATTTTCGAAAATTTAATACAAGACTAGATGCCAAATTTAATGGAAAAATAGGATATTTATATAAAGCAAATGCTAATTCTTTGGTTTTACTTACTTTTTTTAATTTGTTCTCAAATAGAAAACGCAGCAATTCCTGTTCTTCATTACAGAGCTTGCTAAGAGGTAGCGATTCAAGAAGTTCTTTTTCTTAAAAACGGTGAGAAAAGAAAGAATATCCTCATAATATTTATAGAGGGAAAAAGCCAACAACTAAAATTATTCTATAGTTCTTGGTCTAAGTAAATTAAATTCAGAACATAAGGATATCAAAATGTGCTACAGAAGCTGACACAGTGGTTCCAGGCCTGGAGATGGGAATCATCTGGTGGTTGGAGGCTGCTCTTTCAGGGTTGAGACCAGGAGGTTCCCCAGGTGGCTCTTGTCACCAGCCTCCACACTCCTGACACTGTGTGGAGCTTGCTCTGCTGGGAAGAGGGGAGCCTGCGCATTGCCGGTACTAAGCAGGACCTCTGGCCGGTAGCCACTAAATACCAGCAGCAACCTCTCAATCTCCCTCCCTGCCCCGGAGCTGTAAGAAACAGTCTCCAGACAGTGCCAGATGTTCCCTGGGGCGGGGGCAAAATTACCTCATTGAGAACCACTGAACTAGGCTAAAATATGTTAGAACCCCACTAATTCAACCACTCTATTTTCTGTTTCTCTTGTTTACCACCTCACATCACTGCCAACGTACTTGGACTCCGATTTTCAGTGCCTGTGGTACATCAGGATCATGTGGGAGCTTTAAATCATCAGATGATAGGGTCTCACCCTGAGACTCCGACTGAACTGCTCTGGAGTTGGGCACTGGACATGGATGTTTCTAAATCTTCCCAAGGATTTAAAGAGCAGCATGGCTGGGAATCACTGAGTGAGATACTGAAATCCTGGCTTATACTACCTCAATCACTTCTCAAAAAGATGGCCTCTTCATATCACAATCTCTAGATTCAGGCAGCACAAGGCACTGTACAATACTGCATTCTGCAATGTGCTTTACATTTGGAGACATTAAGAAAGTGAGTAGGTCTATTTAAACCTGTGCATGGCTTGCTGTTAAGATTTCAGAGCAAAAAATCCAAACAATATTAATTTTCCTAAACATAAAACACCCAAGTTTTCAAACCTTCTTGTGCTGTCAACATGTGGTGTGAAGTTAAAAGATCAAATGCTTCAAAACAGTAGACGTCAAGCTTCAAAGCTTCTTTGTAGCTGTAGGTAGCCAGGGTTCGGTTATCTAGAGCATCATAGATTTTCCCACGGAGAAGACAAATAGAACTCTTTATCTGTTGGAAAAATGATGAGTCACATATTAAGTCAGTAGTTTTAAACTTAACGTTTTTTGTCCTTAGAGGCCGAGTTACTCTGCCTCCCGGGCTAGAGTGCAGTGGTGCAATCACAGTTCACTGCAGCCTTGAACTCTTATGATCTCAAGTGACCCTCCTGCCGCAGCTTCCTGAGTAGCCAAAATTACAGGTACACAACACCACAAAGAACTAATTTTTTAAACATATTCTAGAGACAATCTTGCTACGTTGCCCAGGCTGGTCTCAAACTCCTGGCCTCAAGTGATCCTCCCACTTCAGCCTCCCAAAGTGCTGAGTTTACAGGCATGAGCCACCATGCCTGGTCCTTAAACTTAACTTTTGATAGAGAATTGTATTAGAATGCTGACAAGTTTTATTGCATTTAAAAGGATTTAGTTCATCACAACTGTCAAGGCATAAATTAATAAAAACACACACACAAAAAGCACAGCAAAGCTTCTTCAATCCATCTTCCCTGGGCTCTAACCACTCTGTTCCAACATACCTTTATAACAAAAGTACATGTCATGGATATTACCTTCATTATCTGTTTTGTCCAAAATAGGGCAATGACTTGCAGACAGCAAACAGTGTGTGTATGTGTATGTGTGTGGGTGTGTATAAAATAGAACTCCAGGACTGACAGTGTGATAGACAACCACTCCTCAAAAGGATCTTAAAGAGCAGAAACTGGCAGCAAGGCAGCTCAGTGGTGACTGCAGTCAGCACAATGGCCTGCTGGGGCAGGATGGACCTAAGTTCAAACCCTAGCTCTGCCACTTACTCATAACCTTGGACCAGTGATTTAACCTCTCTTGGCCTCCATTTCCTTTCCTCATCTGTAAAAAGGTAAAAACACTATCTAACTTATAGAACTCTGAGGACTAGAGATACTACTATCTCTGTGGTGCTAGCACATAGTAAGGTGTTCAACAGACATCTCACGACTACCATAAACAAGACGTGGAAATTTGATATACATTCCGGACTCTGGATCTCAAACACACAACTGAATTTAAAGATGATCCAGCAACGGGCAGCTAAAATCATTAAGGAGATGAAGAAGATTCGTAAAGTAAAATTTTGGAAAAAAATAATGAATTATGAGAGAGTCTTTGACCTAAGCAATATCCTATGAGTTGTTTTTTTAAAAAGTAACTTCAAAAAATAAATAATGCATTACAAATAAATTACACATTTTGTAGCAGATAAGTTGATGGATAAGAAGTCCCCAAAACAATGATTGTACCAAACACTGATGGATAAGAAGTCCCAAAAATAATGACTGTACCAAACACTCTCATAAATGCATTTCTTAGCAGAAGAATTAATGTGCTTCCTAGCACATAAAGTAATGAGTGGCCAGAAAAAAAAGCAACACACACCTAGAATGTGTAATTTTTTTTATGCTTAAAAATATCTAAGGTGAAAAGTAGAGTAATAAAGTTCTACCAAAAATATAAAGAATAACTGGGCTAGGTGTGGTGGTTCATGCCAGTAATCCCAACACTTTGGGAAACTAAGGTGCAAGGATCACCTGAGCCCAGGAGTTTGAGACCAGCCTGGGCAACACAGTGACACCCTGTCTCCACAAAACATTTTAAAAAAATGTAGCCGACTGTGGTGGCATGTACTTATAGTCCCAGCTATTTGGAAGGCTGAGATGGGAGAATCACTGGAACTTGGCAGGTTGAGGCTGCAGTCAGCTGTGATTGTGCCACTGTACTCCAGCCTAGGCAACAGAGCAAAGAGCCTGTCTCAACTAAAAAAAAAAAAAAAAAAAAAAAAAAAAAAAGTGGGAAGATAATTGGTGGGTCAGGTAAGGGATACAGGATTCTTTCTGAATAATAAAAACATCCTAAAATTGACCATGGTGAGGTTTGCAAAGCTCTGTGAATATACTAAAAAGCATCGAACCATACACTTTAAATGAGTGAACTGCATGGCATATGAATTATATCTCAGTAAGTTTTTTTTTCTTTTTAAAGAGTAACAATCCAGAATAATAATCTGTAAATGTTACTTATTATTACACAATTTCTGTCAGCAAGAAACGTGGAATTTCATGGAGATAAGAAGTATAAAAACTGAAATATACAAAATTACACAGCAATGTACTATGAAGCAAACAGGAACACAAAACCATTTCCTGGAAAGAAACATCTAAGCTAATCAAGGTTTCTTAGTGTAGGTCCAAAACACTGCTGCAACACAGAAAGAAGGAGAAAAATGATTCCACTTTTACGGAGTAGCTTAAGGCATCAAATATGAGAGGGAAGATTTTAAGCCAGCCTATTTTAGATGCAGGCATCTGAGGATAGAATTACAGCTTCCAATTGATGGCTAAGAAATGTCTCTGAATCCTTTTTGGTTTTGGCGGGCAAATTAAAGAAAATGGCAACCACATTGTTTCAATATGGTAATACTCAAGTTAAAGAAGATAATGCATTTCTGCCATGTAAAGAGGGTAATTCTCACTGCCATTACTAAGGTGTTTTAACAGTACTACTTACTGAAGACTGTGACATCTCCCAGTCACTGGAGGGATCTTTGAGGCCACTTTCATCCTTCAAGTATTTTTCAAATAATCTTTTGTTGATTGGCTCTTCCATATCAAGAATATCAAGGGCCTGCTGGTGCTCTTTTGCAGCATACTATGTGGAAAACAGAAATGCCACCCATCACCCACGATTTCTTTTTTTTTTAATTGCATTTTAGGTTTTGGGGTACATGTGAAGAACATGCAAGATTGTTGCATAGGTACACACGTGGCAGTGTGATTTGCTGCCTTCCTCCCCATCACCTATATCTGGCATTTCTCCCCATGCCATCTCTCCCCAACTCCCCATCCTCTGCTGTCCCTCCCCGATTTCCCCCCAACAGACCCCAGTGTGTAGTGTCCCCTCCCTGTGTCCATGTGTTCTCATTGTTCAACACCTGCCTATGAGTGAGAACATGCGGTGTTTGATTTTCTGCTCTTGTGTCAGTTTGCTGAGAATGATGGTTTCCAGGTTCATCCATGTCCCTACAAAGGACACGAACTCATCATTTTTTATGGCTGCATAATATTCCATGGTGTATATGTGCCACATTTTCCCTGTCCAGTCTATCATCGATGGGCATTTGGGTTATTTCCAGGTCTTTGCTATTGTAAACAGTGCTGCAATGAACATTAACGTGCATGTGTCCTTATAGTAGAACAATTTATAAACCTTTGGACATATACCCAGTAATGGGATTGCTGGGTCAAATGGAATTTCTATTTCTAGGTCCTGATAATATGTATGACATCCATTATTTAAATGTAAAATGTTTAAAGTAGAATTTTCTTCATGCATGTCAACTTTTAGTAAATGAAGAATTAGTATTTTACAGCAAACAATACTAAGGAAAAGAACACTTCCTCATGAAATACTTTACTAACCTGCCAACCTCCATCACTAAAAACCTCACACATATATGAGGGATGCCTAACACTCACACCATCAAACTTTCAACCAAACAAAAATTAAATTGTGAGCATACTTACATGGCACCTAGCTGCAAGGTAACGACATGCTTCATACAACTAGGAAAGAAATTAATTTGTTTAAAAAGTGGTCAAAATAATATGTATCTTCACTTTCAAAGAAAGCCATAAGCATGAAATAGAGCTATTTTCATTTCTCCTTTTACAGTTAAAAAAAAATTCCAGTCTTGTTAAACTATATTTATCATGAACGTAGCGTTTACTAGGCACCAAGGTTTCAAAAAGGAGTAAGGCCTTGCCTCAGGAGGTTACAGTAGGGGAGACGTGACCTAAGTCTAATGGGTAAGCATGATGAAAGGGGGCCACAGAAGGTGGCAGCCAGGTGAAGAAGGAAACATCTGCAGGAGAGCAACTAAGTGAGGACTTGGTCAAGCAGCGGAGTGGAACGCTGGGCAGCACTCCAAGCTCTAAGTGTGATTAACTGCAGGGCCAAGGAGCTCAGCGCAGCTCCACATGACTGACGCACGTGCTCCGAGTATTGATGGTGGTGGATTAGACACAAACTGGAGAGAAATCATGGAGGGCCTCACAGACCTACTGCTGCATCTGACTTTATCCTGCAGGTAACGGGAAGTCACTGAATGACTTTGTGGGAATAAAATCACATCCATGTTTTATGAAGACTACTCACCCCTGTAACAGTTCGTAAGATGAACTGGACACAGGGATGGTAAGAAAAGAGAAACTGTTACTGGAGAAAAGACACAAGAAGAGAAGCTGTAACAGGATAGACAAAAAAATTAAAGGCCTGATATGTATGAGTGGAGAGGAAAAGGAATATCTATGATTTTAGAACTGTTTAGAAAACAGTCTTCAGAATTTAGAGACTAGATGAAAGATGGGGGAAAAAGAAGATACAGATTAGGTGTAAGACATTTTCCCTTCACATTCAGTAAGAAAAGTTGGGCCAGCGGAGCCTTCGACAGCTCAGTTGGTAGAGCGGAGGACTGTAGTGGAAGAAAAGTTGAGCCTACTGTGATGGCTCACACCTATAATCCCAGCACTTTGGGAGACCAGGGCAGGAGGATCACTTGAGACCAGGAGTTCAAGACTAGCCTGGGCAACATAGTGAGACCTTGTCTCTACCAAAAAAATTTAAAATTTAAAAATTAAATGGGTATGGTGGCATGTACCTGTAGTCCCAGCTACTAAGAAGGCTGAGGCAGAAGGATCTCTTGAACCCTGGAGTCTGAGGCTACAGTGAGCCATGATCATCCCACTGCACCCCAGCCTGGGTAACACAGTGAAACCCCCAAAAAACAAAAACAAAAATAAAATTGCATCCATTTAAATAATTTCAACATAAATGGGATATTCACATAGGACATTAACTTTTTTTTTTTTTCCTGAGACGGAGTTTCACTCTTGTTACCCAGGCTGGAGTGTAATGGCGCAATCTCAGCTCACTGCAACTTCCGCCTCCTGGGTTCAAGCAATTCTTCTGCCTCAGCCTCCCGAGTAGCTGGGACTACAGGTGTGCGCCACCATGCCCAGCTAATTTTTGTATTTTTAGTAGAGATGGGGTTTCACCATGTTGACCAGGATGGTCTCGATCTCTTGACCTCGTGATCCACCCGCCTCAGCCTCCCAAAGCACTGGGATTAAAAGCATGGCCACCAAACTTTTTTTTTGAGACAGAGTTTTGGTCTGTCGCCCAGGCTCCCAGGTTCAAGCAATTCCCTGCCTCAGCCTCTCGAGTAACTGGAATTACAGGCGTCCGCCATCATGCCTGGCTAATTTTTGTATTTTTAGTAGAGACAGGGTTTCACCATCTTGGCCAGGCTGGTCTTGAACCCCTGACCTCATGATCTACCCGCCTAGGCCTCCCAAAGTGCTGGGATTACAGACATGAGCCACTGCGCTCGGCCACTAATGACATTTTTTTAAAGCTCTGAAGAGCTTTAAAGTTTATACAATTACTTACCTTGTCCAGTTTTCGTGACCGAAGCGCATGAGCGGCTCTGTGATATTGTGCTGTCAGGAAAAGACATTGAGCCAACCAATAGATGTCCTGGGGTTCCTCTGCAGGGAAAAATTCACATAAGTGGTCCGGGGTACAAGGTGAAATAGAAAACATTTTTTAAGAGTAATCAGAAAAAAAATTAGCATTTTGCCACTTACCGTGAGAGAGTGAAGCTACTTTATCTGCCCAAAATAGAGCACTTTGATACTGTTGCTGCATACCAAAAAAAAAGTACCCTGTTATTTCAAGTCTTAAACAGATTTCTAATATTATTATAATTCTATATAATAAATCTAATCTCAAGACAACTTTTTACATCTCTATCTTATAGCTCACGTAGGGTGAATTTTAGTTCAACGGCACAAATATTACTGTAATATCTTTGTATATGCAACTCATGAAGGTAATTTTTAAAAAAAACTCATACACTATAAAAATGTACATACAAGTGAAATGCAACTGAAACAGCAAAGGCTAGTTATTAGCAATTCTTGTGCTGATATTTATGTAACCCTTTCAATGAGCTGGTAATGAATCCCAAAGTGAAATTTAATAGACAGAACACTATACTCAAATACCTCATATAATACAGTTGCAGTTTTAATAACACTGAAATTTAAAAACATACACACATATACATTAGCTAAGCTTCACTGAACATGGGGAAGAACTCACTTCCTCTAACAAAACTCCTCTAACAAAAACTCACCTCCTCCAAGTCTAACAAAAATGAAGGAGCCGACAGTGAGAGCCACCCACAGTGACCTACGGTTGGCTTTAGTCCCTGTTCCGCTCCTCGGTCCTCAGTCTTCTACAGTTTCTGCCTCAGTTCCCCTGGATGAAAGCCAGGACCACCTTTGCCAGCCCAAGGCAGAAGGAATGCCAATAGGCTGGTAACAAATATGCTCAGTACCGGTGTCTCTGAGGCTGGAAACCAGGCCTGTCATACTCTTCACTACGTCCCCGTGCCGAAGAAAAAGTGATCAGAAAACACGGAGTTCACTGACTTATGGTAAACAAAAACCAGCCCTCCAATGGACTGCAAGCATTTGGCCACGTCATTGAGCACCCAGTTCCGAAAACTCTGCATTACACGTGGCGTTTCTGTGCCTTCGTTTCCAATTTACTGAAAGAGCAAGCATTTTGACAAAAAACAAACGACATCATGAATAACACGGTTGATTCTGGAAGCCACTTCTTTCCTTAAACATTGTCTGCTATTCACTCAAAGGTAGTGCAGGGAACACAGATATGGTTAACCAGAATTTTTAAAGTACTGATCTGAGAGAACAGGCTTCTTTACATCTTTACTCACTTACTTCAGCCCAACAAAAACTACAACTAAACCTCTCAAAAATGTTTTATTAGCTAGCCCAATTCTAAGGCCACCCTGCAACTCTCCTCCAAAAACTGTCCTTCACCTTGCCTCGAGTCGCGAGTATTTCCTGGGCCCCTCCTCCGCGCTCGGCGCAGAGCGAGGCTCGGACCCGAGTGAGGCGCCCCCTGCGCTCCAGCGGCCTGCACCGCCCAGGCTGTGCCTCCCGGCTGCAGGGACCGCTCCCCTCGGGGTGCGGCGCAGACAGCAGCGGCCCCAGAGGAAGGTCCAGGGCCAGCCCAGCCCTCCCCACCGACAGCCCGACAGCAGTCACTCCAGCCCCACGACGCGCGGAAACCGACCCAGCGCGGCCTGGGCCCCGCGCCCCGCTCCCCGCTCCCGGCGCCCCGGGCCGGCGCCGCCCACCTGGTCGAGGTACTGCCGAACGCGCTTCCGCAGCCGCTCCAGGTTCATGGCCGCGCGGCCCGGCCTCACGCCGCACTCCACGGCCTGGCGCGCGCCTCCCGCTTCGCGCCCCGCCCCGTGCCCGCGACCGCCGCCGCTGCCCCGGACCCGAAGGCCGCAGACCCGCACCCCCACCCTGTCCCAGAGCGCCGCCCAGGCTCTTCCGCTCCAGACAGGCCCCGCCCCGGAAGTCCCCAGCAAACGGGTCCCATCTAACGCGGGAAACGCACCGCGTTGCTGGTTCCGATGTCTCCCGTAGCACGTGGGCTTCTGGTCGCCTTGGGGCGAGAGCGCGGCCTCCCCCGAGTCGGTTCTGGGCATTGGCCCGAGACCCCGGCGGGCGCGGGGCCGGACCACCCCCCGGGCGAAAAAGCAGGGGTCTGAGCGGTGGAAAGAGGGGCACTAGCTGAGCCTTCCTTCCCAGAATGTCATCGACATTTTGAAAATCAGAGCAATGCACTCTCCTTACAGAAAAAGAGTAGTGTGCACACACAGCGAACGCAGTCCAAAGGCAAGCCGGGGAGAAGTTCGAAACCTTCGCAAAGCGCGGATTTCCGGAGCACGTGGAGCCGGCGCTCCCTTTGCACACGGTGGGAAGAGCAGTGGTTCGGGAAAAGGCAGGCAAAAAACAGTGCACAGGGAAAGGAATGCAAATAGAGTTTGACGTGCGAAAGAAGGCCCAACTTAATTTATAATACAAATTAAAATTACAACCCGGTACCCCTTTTCATAGGTTAACAAAGATCAAAAGGGTGATGACGCTGCTGGCAAGAGTGGGGGCAGCAGGCACCCTCGTGTATTGTTTTTGTGAGTGACACTGACTTACTCTCCAGGATGAACAAGTTGAAATGTCTTCCAAAATTGAAAGTTCGTGTCGTTAACCCTTACGATTTTTGTTTCGGGAAACATACCACCGATTTGCATTTTTGCATGTGCGCAAAATGGCCCGCAGCATGTTTTGTAAGAGCAAAAGATTGCAGGCGATTTAAAGACCCGTCCAGTATGGACCTGAGTCAATAGGCTGCAGCACACTCACGTAGCGGAATACTCGGTGGCTGTTCAAAAGAACAGGCAGCTTTGCATGGACATTGAACAATCTGCAGGACATTGTATATGGGAAAAGCAAGTATAGGATCACAGTTATCATATGCTTGCATTTGAGTAAAATATAAATTTAGCAAAAGGATAGGTAGAAAGATCCTTAAACTGTCCCTGGGAGGAAAAATGAGAAAACTGGCATAGCGCAAGGCCTTCTGGAAGGAGTGCTGGAAGATGAGAGATGGTAGAAGTGGGAGGGGTGCTTCCCTGGATATCTTTTTGTACTTTTTGATTTTCAATTCATGTGCATATATTATCTGTTGTAAAATTAAGTCATTCATACTGAAAGCTGTTGGGACTTTGAATTATCCTGAGCCTTGAGGGGAATGTGGCCTTGCAGCCTAGGTCACATGGTATGAAGCGCAACTCTGCCTTTTTATTCTCTTTTACCTGTGAATAGTAAAGACCAAATGGTGCCAGAGGTAAGACCCCCTCAGTTCACTACCCCTCCTCATTTAGTCATAATGCGATCTTCCCTGAAATACAGTGATCCCTAACCAATTGAATGGCTGTGGCGTGTGCCCCTGGTCTCCTGTGAAAACTGTGGTGATCCTGCTGGAGTTTCTCTGTCTCCACCTGATAAGTGAAACCTGAACTTCTCCACTTGGAAAGGCTGACCCCATTTGTCTAGGTGATCAATCTCAGGCTGCATGTTCAAATACAAGCTATATGTAATCATATTTTCAGAATCTCATTGTTTAAGGTTGACACTTTTGAAAAGTAAATATAACTTTTATGAATATAAAAACCTAAAAAAGAAAAAAATATTCAAAGAAGCCAAAAAAAAACACCTTCCTATAAAAAATCCCACCCACTCAAAAATTCCCTCATGATGCTGTGAGTAATCTGCCTTGTAATTTTCTGTGTGTGTGTATACGTATATATACACACTGGGTAAAATTTTGAAATTGTTTCAAAAATATGTCCCGTGGTATGTTTCCCTTTCCTCCTGCTGTCCCACTCCTTCTGCAAGCAGGTGGTCGTCAGTCCTGCTCATGAACTTGGGGCAGGCAGGCAGCGAAGTGTGTTCAAGCCATGTGTTCAATGGCTTCCATTCACATAATGAGCTTCTCAACCAAAAATGAGCGACTGAGGCAAATGTCTCCATCAGTAGAGGTCCGAGGATGGGCCCAGGAGAACGCAAGCCACAGAAGCATCAACTGCGCCATCTAAATAGGATTTTGGGGACTGGGTGTTGAGGAGGTGAGAGCAAGCAGGAAGAAAAAAAGGGAGGGTTTGGCAGTGAGGCTCTGATGAGTGCTTGGTAAACCAATAATTTACATGAGATGAGGCAAACTTCTGACCAGAGGGAGTGGAGGAAAGAGTTACGTAGCCTGTATCAGGGTAGGCAGAAGAGTGGCTGATCATCTTGTCCTTGTTCTGTACCTGGAAGGTAAACTTGTAATTAATATTGCCAGGGTGAGATTTAACAGAAATCACTTTTAGGAGTCAAAGTTAGGTTGCAGACCTAAGGTTACAATAAGCATGTTTGTTTTACAGAGGAATGAGTATCCTGAAAGATTAGGGACCAGCAAGGATTTCCTTGTGAGCACTTTGCGAAGGTGGCCATCCGGAGAGGCAGAAGGCCCTTTGTCCTTGTGGGAACCTGGTGTATGGACAGTGCTGTGACACAGGGTGATGAAATCACAGCTATCCACTTGAGAAGGGCAGTGGCCGGGTTGCATGACGTAGTTCCCAGGCTTAACCCTCCCTTTGACATAACGAGTTTGGGGTTCCTGAGATTTTATTTTCTTTTACACCTATATACTGTAGTTATATGTGTATCACATTTTTAGGTTTTTGTGGTTTTTTTACCGTATGAGTTACACATGAATGTGCTCTTTTCGTAAAAGATTTCAACGATAAAGCAGTGGGACTGTGGCACTCCAGTGACAGACTGTGAAAGTTCTTCTTCCCTCCTTCTCTTCCCAGAAACAATCACTGTCAGCTTATGCACTTCCACTCTCCTTTCCAGGCTTTGAATGCATAGGTGCACAATTACAAATATAGCCACGTTTTGGTGGTGGTGGTAAGCTGGCTTTGTATTAGTAAAATAAAATGTGATTTACTTAAGTCACATGCCATGGAAAGACATTTGGGCTTATTTCCTCAATTTCTGAATGCTTCTTTTAAGCCAAATTAGTACCTTGTGGCCACAACACATAACAAAATACATGTACATACACGTAAACACATTTAAACACACATACACACTTAGACAAACAAGATTCTTTAGGTTTTACTTGAGAACCCTAGCCATGAGATATCAAAACAAACTCACCAGTTTACAAAAAATGAAATGAAACAAAAATATTTGGATCCAAAGAGTGGTTTTTATCAACACCAGTGGAAAGGTAGCAGCAGATTTAAAGCACGCAGAAAAGAACACAGAGAAACAGAGAACTTAGGAACTCCATAGTTGCAGGTCAACTTTTAGGCTCTGAATTTTTCTTGATGTAATTTGTGTATCATTTAAAAATGTGTGCAACAAATCATAAAATGTAAACAGTTGAAGTAGGAGAAAACCTGGCATGCCCTCAAACGTTTTCCATTTACACAAACACTTGAATGGAGTGGCACCATAAACCCAAACGTAAGGGGGTCATTCTCCTTGTATTTCCTCATTCTTAGATAATTTGTTTCTCATGTCCTTTTCTTAAAAGGAGGCTAGCTGTGGCCTAGGGTTTTTTTGTGTGTGTGGTGGATTGATGTGTGCTGATTGTGGGTAGAACTACACAGTGTTTCACCACTGAGTCACTTCTGCCTCTGTGTGTCCCAGTTTCTCTCTCCAGACATCTATCACCTCCAAGAGGGTTCAAAATTCTGAGTGGTCATGTCTCATATGTATTTCCTGGATGAGCCTTTTAAAATTAATTTGTTGGTCGGGGGTATTCCCTGTAAGGCCAATACACATCATGGGAGGTCCACCCCCACACATTCCCACCTGGCACCTGGTCACTCAGGGGCACCTTTGGCTTGGAGGAGCAAAATGTCCTTTCTCTTTGGAGCCGAGGAGTTCAGTATGTCATTTATCTATGAAAATGACAGCCCAGTTCATCATGAAAATGCACAGATAAGCAGTTTTAGTCTGTTCTCAGGCCGCTGATAAAGACATACCTGAGACTGGGTAATTTGTAAAGGAAAGAGGTTTAATTGATCCACAGTTCAGCATGGCTGGGGAGGCTCTAGGAGACTTAAAATGGTGGCAAAGGGGGAAGCAAACAGCTCCT